CCGTCCATTGTATATAAGGTGTTCCTATATCACAGATATAAAAATGCTGAGAACAAGGAAACATAAACTGGAAATATTCTTTCTTGCCTAGCATCCGTTTTAGTATGGTTACCTATCAGAAAATATTTAAGACCATATCTCAAGCCGGAATACAATAAAGAAAGTAATACTTCTAGGAGCTTGATAACGAACAAAAAGAAATTGTTTTCGAGCGTCAAATAGGCACTCCTAAATAATCCATGCGTGATAAATACTTGAGCGTCTCTTTCAATTCATGACTGACTCGGCAGAGGATTTCCCCAATGTAGGTTTCTTCTTGCCGTAGTCTGGTTGCCAACTAAGACTAAAGAACCCAGTCTACTATTTAACCCATAGCTGGTGGGGAGAAGGAGCGGATTCATATATTTCCAAAGAATATTTGTGCGAAAGTGAATGCTGCAGGAATTCGAACTCGGCTCTCTGATTTCTTATTCAGAGTCGATAGCCATTCCTCCAAAACGCACATACAAGGAAACGTGTCTTCTTCCTGTTCTTTCATTGATCTCTCTTCTTGTTAATAGTTTTTTCTCTTCTCTCACCCTCGGTCACTCCTTGCATCTTAGTGGCTTTATTGCCTTGCTTGTGGTGAAATGATTAAAAAAAAATTTTTGAAACCTACAACCTGTCTAGTCATTTTCCATTCAGGAAATATTACCAGTAATACTTTCTCGCTTCTTGCATTTCTGTTATTCTTGTTTCATTCATATGTTACAATAGTGCTTCTCAAAATAGTCGTCAGCGGACCGGTGCCGTTACCCGAACCATTAACTTCCGGTATGCAGACAGTGTCTAGGCCATGCTAAAGAATCATTTGTAAAAGTTTATATTTCTGAAATGAGGTACTATATACACTATTTACATTATTCAAACTATTGTTTTAATCTTTGTTGCCATATTTATCACAACGGTTCGGCCGTTGTATGCTTCAGCCTTCTTCAGGTGGTTGGAATGACGAACTGAACCCACTATTTCGCTCGCTGGGGTAGATTGTTCTAGTTCCATGTGCCATGTCTAATCAAACACCTTCACAATCACCATTAGACTCATCCAACTCTTTTCGAATCCTCTACACTGCCCTCAGATTAACACCCAAACACTCGGAAATGTTGGTATTGGAGCTTTCCGTGCGAATGCCAAACAATGCAACATGTTTTTTCCAAATTTCCACAAGGTTCGAATTAGAATAGTCCTCGGTAAGATCTACAGGCTTCACTGGGTCGAAGCCGGTTTTAGGGGCACAAGAAATTTAATATAGCGTGTAAAAGCAGAGATATGGGGAAAATTACTGTCGAAAAAGCAAATAGTTGTGTAAGCGGCTATTTCTTTCGATCGATGCTTATCAAAGAGAATCCTTAATAAATTTAAAAGATTAAACAATAATGTCGAACTGAACCCTTTAAGAACCTTATGGGCACATGGTACAGTGGATAAAGACGTTGCTTAGATCCAGTGACAGGACCCAAAGAGTTGTGAGTTCAATACCTGGTTAAGGCAGTGGAGAACTTGGAGAGGGGAATTAACAGGAGATAACTGATAACTGATTATGAAGGTGTTTGGGATGATCACTAGTGATGGCGACATTATGTCTCCATTCATCTTCCCACATTGCCTCAAACTCAACATGGAGGCCTACATCAAGTGCCTTGAAGAGGTAGTACTACCCTGAGTCAAGTGGATGGCTGCAGGAAGACCATATGTGTGGCAAAATGACTCTGTACCATGTCACACAAGCAGTAGAACCCAGTAATGGCTGTCAGACAATTTCTGAAACCACTTCACCCCTTACATCAGGTCACCTAACTCCCCAGACTGTAATGGCCTTTTATTAATTTGTGTGCGGCGCAGTTGACCGAGAGACCAACAAAACTCCTTGTAACACCAAAGATGACAGAAAAGGCAAGGATTATGGCATCATTCACCAACTAAAACAAGGAAACCGCCTAGAAAAATAGCGGAAGATTCCGAAGTAGTTTGGAGGCTATAGTTGAAGCCAATGGCGATTTTATTGAATGAATTTATCCTTTGGTAATTCGAGATATTTTTGTGCAATTTTGGTAAATATATCTGTTAAAATGAGATGTAAGTGTTATTTTCAGTTTTGTGTAATTTAGACAACAATTTATCCATCACACCCTGTACATGTTTGTGTGGACGTAATTACTAGAGGCAGTGATATATATGTTTTATGCTGTAGTTTTATTGAAGTTATATTTTGGAATACAGTTTGATTACTTCGAGAAATTGTAAGATATATGGACTAATGTCATGAAAGTTATTTCCTGTTGACCGGGTTTGTTGGCCCCATATCAACTCTCTGGGTTACTTTAATGCAGAAATCTATATATTTTGTACGTAATTTTATACGTTCAGAGTAAATGTCTGTTTTTAGACATATATTTTGTAGATCATAAAATGTGTTGTTAATAATTTTACTATAAAAATGTATTCTTAAATTTATTAGTGTTGCATTGACAGTCATTTTGCTATAAAAATGTATTTTTGGTCATTTTATTATAAAAAATATACTGTCTATTTCTTTTTCGTGGTTCACTATTTGCCATTATCTGGGACCCTAACAGGTACTACTACTCCGGGTCAGATTAGGCCTGGAAACAATAGTAATTAAGAGATGGTTGAACGCTCCTCAAAACCTCCAATCTCCCGATCAGAGGCATTCGCTGCCGGATGTTGTTTATCATCATACCCAGGAATGACTCTTAGTGTGACGTAATATAATATTTATATATTCATAACGTGGCCGCAAATACCGAATTTCCCAGCGTCGAAGGTAATATTTATTTCCAAAAGACGTTTCGAATATTTGCCTCTTAGTTTTATTCGTTTTGTTTTTCAAGTCAAAACATGCTTTCTTCACGTCAATCAATACAATGCTTTCACCTTTAAGGCTAGCTGGGGTTCGATCCTAGTTTTAACAATCAACAGCTTCAAATGATGATTTTCAAGGCATGCCGGCTTTACCCATTTAAATGGTGAAATCAACATAATATCCACCCCTACACCGTTTGCCCTTGTGTGATACTAAATTAATGATAAAAGCCAATATCTAGTAAGAGCAATTCTAATAATATATGGAAAAATCGATTATTATATGTCTTATTATTCAAACGAGCATGCTCATTTTGGTTGTTATAAAGACGTTTCGGCCGTTATACGTTTTAAGCATCTTCAGATGTCCGTCATTTTCACAAGACACATTTGTATTTCCTCTATTTTTATTTTTTTTATCTGGTATTTATGGCTAGGGATTCACTACAGCAATAATTTCAAATCTCCAGCACCTTCCTCGGTATCAGACTCCAGCAACGTCATGGTTTTTACAATTTCAGTTTTTCCTCCAATTCCCGATTCATCCAATTTCACCTTTAGTGTTTTTCGTACCGGTCTGAGCGAGTAAACATATTTCCTTTCCAGGTTTTTCAGGTGAGGAGATTAACTAGACACGCAGTAGGATTAAAAACGAATACTTATCAAAGGATGGAAGAACATTCTTGTACGGTGAACGGCTATCAAACACAATGGGGTAGAGTGGGCGGCATAGAGATGTTTGCAGCCAATGCGGTGATGGCATTGGCATCGTTGGGTGGTGCTCCGCTTAGCCTGAAGACAGCGGCCAAAGCGGAGGGTTCCCCTGATGGAATCAAGGGCTATGTGCTTATGACAAATGCGAGATTTACAAGTTGGAGGACATCGGCTGTGGTTTAACGTGGTGGGGATCAGGATTCCACCAGGTCTACTTGCCCAAGACGCTACGCATGACGAAACACCTCCTCGGCTTTCAACCAGCATATCTGAAGCGAACTGCTCAGATGATCAGGTCTATAAGGCACACAACGAGGAAAGAAGGCTTGGAGAATCTGATATTCATTGAGGGCGAGGGAGACAGGAAAACAACGCATAACCTACTTAGTTTGAGTCAATGAATGACAAAACAGGGTTTAGGAGAAATAACATAGATCTATAAGGAACAAGAAGTTGTGGAGAGTCATGATCGCCTACGTCCTGAGTGGACACAGCACATAAAGAAGAATTATTCCACCAGGAGGTGCTGAATATTTCTCAGCCTACCTAAGAGGCTCTCCGAAAACAAATTTGATATTTGGTCATTTCGTCAGAAGGTGTGACGGGGCGCTGATAAATTTTCAGTACCCTCTCGTTCATTTATTTAATGGTCATACCAGTAGTATGTCATACCCTACTGGGGAGCTTATTATTATTAATATTATTATTATTATTATTATTATTCATAGTGTGGGCTTTTTCTACCTCACTATGTAGGAAACGCGAACAAGGAAGTTTATGGGTGTTCAGCAAGTCACAAATCCACGACACCCGAGGTCAACAATGTGCTGCTAGTCATTTCAGCTTGGTTCAGCTGTCAAATGCAGATCTAACTGGTTTAAGGATTAATGTTTTAGGAGATTATGACATTATGATTTTGTGGTGGTATTCCGAAATTAGGACCTGTTTTTGTCATATGAGCTGTGGATGTCGAAGTGAGTACTTCCCTTTGAGTTACAGAATTTCAGTTCCAACAAGAGGAATACACGATGATACCTATCGTGTTCATGTTGTCTGTGATGGTCCTAGGGTCAGAGTGAGCACGTAGGGCATTATCAGGCCTCTCTACTTCTTTCGGCACTGCCACAGGACGAATACCAGCGCCTATACACGTGGGTCAAGCACTCTTACGATTAAGTTGTCTTACACGCTCTCCCACATGGACTGTGTATCACAGGAGCGGCTGACCGAGTATTTTCACGATACTGTCACTCCCTAACATACTGTTTCTAAGATTTGAATCAAATGGATTGCTACGTCTGCATCCAGGAATACCAAAGAATCTTACAAGACGGTTAGTATCGACGTGAGGGTTAGCATGAACGCGAATCACCTCATCCGAATATGTAGTTTTTTTTTTTTATATTTTTCTTGGGGGATTTTCAGGGGATATGGTGGGGATTTGTTGATTTTTTGGGGAGAGGAATTTTGGGGGGATTTGGTGAGGATTTGGGGGGATTTGGTGGGGATTTTTTTGAGGAGGGATTTTTTGTGGGAGGGATTTTGGGGGAGGGATTTGGGGAATTTAGTGGGATTGGGGGGGATTTAGTGGGGATTTTTTGAGGGGAGGGATTTGGGGGAGGGATTTGGTGGGGATATTTTTTTGCGGAGGGATTTTGTGGGGAGGTGATGTTTTGAGGTTGGGATTTGGTGGGCATTTTTTTGGGGGGGGAGGAATTTAGTGGGGATTTTGGGGGATTTAGGTGGGATTTTTTTGAAGGAGGGATTTGGTGGGGAGGGATTTTGCGGGTGAATTTGTTGGGGAGGGATTTAGTGGGGATTTTGGGGGATTTAGTGGGGATTTTTTTTGAGGGAGGGGATTTGGGGTGAATTTTGGTGGGGAGGGATTTAGTGGGGATTTTGGGGGATTTAGTGGGGATTTTTTTGGGGATTTCGGGGAGGGATTTGGGGTGAATTTTGGTGGGGAGGGATTTGGTGGGGATTTCTTTTTGACGGGGAGGGCGTATCGAGGACATCACAAAGGCTGAAGGCGTTTTCATTTAATCTTATATGTAGAATATATGTAGTTATTACTTATAATATGCTGAAGGTCTATATTGGACCTTTTTTTCATTTTATACTATAATTTGATCTCATTTATCTGGCGGATCCTACATATATCTACATACATAGACATACATTTTGGAAACTTCGACTTAGTGCAAGCTAGTCTCAATACATCTCAACGTGTTAATATCTATCTATCTATCTATCTATCTATCTATCTATCTATCTATCTATCTATCTATCTATCTCAACTTATTAATGTCTATCTATCCATCTATTTATCTCCACCAGTTAATATATATCTATCCGTCTACTTATCAATCTCAGCCTCTTAATATCTATCTATCTATCTATCTATCTATCTATCTATCTATCTATCTATCTATCTATCTATCATCAGTTTCTTCATATCTATCTGCCTGTCTGTCTATCTATCCCCTTTCTCTCTCCATGTCTCTGTCTCTACCCGTCTGTCTGACTCTCTCATTCATTATATATATATATATATATATATATATATATATATATCGTTTTGTTTCAATTAGCACAACATATATATATATATATATATATATATATATATATATATATATATATATATATATATATATCGTCGTGTTAATTGAAACAAAACGAATAATTCCGATATTATGTATTTTTTTCGTATTTTTCCAATGTAACATGACCTAGTGCACATATTAGTACTTCGTATGTTCATTTCACAAAGTCGTACCTTTCACATTGACCCCAGAATCTCGACTGGATTTAAATCAGCTGAGTTTCCGGGCTAGTCTATAGTACTCACTGGTAAAGCTTTCCAGTGTGTCCGTGAAGCATTATAACTTTCGTACACTTCCTTGGAGTAACGGACTTCGCAGACAATGGCTGTAGGACAACTAACCGACAGTCGAGACAGTATCTCGGTGTGATGAAAATCTGATGCAATAACGGATGACGCAATATTTTTCAAGACCAAACAGATTTAATCATGTACACTGAAAATAGATACTTCAATGAGTTTACTGAAATCTTTTCCAACCAATTCAAGGGCTCCAGCTACAACATTGTTGATCTTCACATGTGCCACATTTCTGAGATTTCGATTTCAATGTCCTTGTATTTTGATAGCTTTTTGAAGATCTTCAATGATACATTGCAGTCTGCAGGGATTGCCATATCAATAAGGAGGCACTTTTTTGTTGTTTGCGGTCTCTAATAACAATGTTTAGGCGGTTAGCTTAGATTGTTCTGTCTATGTGTATTGTGTAGTCCCATGAAACTGTTATAGGTCCTATCTCTGTAATCGAGTCTGGGTGGTGTTCATACCAATTTCTTCCGGTTTCCTTTCTGCAGAAGTTGCTGTATTGCTCTGTTTTATATTCACTGGGTGCCAAATCCGTGCAACCTGATACCAGATGATCAATTGTTTCTGGATATTTATCACAGAATCTGTATTTTTGGCTAACACATTTTTTCGTATGTGTGCTTGATATTTTCTAGTTAACAAGCATTGGTCCTGTGTAGCAAGAACAAAACCTTTCGTTTTCAGCTTTTAACCCTGCAGTAGGTAACCACTGATTGGTACGGGGTTTCTCTACATCCGATTGTTTGGTATGAGCAGAGTATTGACCGGGAAGCTGCTTATATTGCAATTATTTCTGAACCTGGTCAGTTGCATTTGCTTTATTTGGTCAGTTGCATCTTCTTCTTCTTCTTCTTCTTCTTCTTCTTCTTCTTCTTCTTCTTCTTCTTTTTATTATTAATAATAATAATAATAATAATAATAATAATAATAATAAAATACATTCTTAAAATTAAATTTTATCTTATTTTAAAAATATTGAATGTAACGTGTTAGAAAGAAATAACAGTTTGTCGATCGACGAATTGACCGTTTTTTCCTTTTAAATATTCAATGTGGAAGAATTTTCAAAGAAGTGTCCAAGTTTCCATGATTTTCATAACGAGCTGCGTCTAGATGGATAGATGCGATTATTGGAAAGGACTAATGTTTGTTAAAAATATAACACCTTTACACATTGCAGCAAAACTTCGAGCTTGGACTGTTATTTCTACTCATATATATATATATATATATATATATATATATATAAAGTGAATAAATTGAAGTCAAAATTCAGAGGCGATAGGTTATTTCATGCTAGGCGCAATATATATATATATATATATATTAAGAAAGAGAGAGACCGATATATATATATATATATATATATATATATATATATATATAAGTAGATATGTGTGGATGTGAGTGTGTCGACACGTATATCTGTTTATATGCGTGCTTCTAAATATATTCACGGGTATATTTAACTCTGACGCAGATTCTGTATAAATATACACGGACACACACCCACAAAAGCGCGCGTATATATATATATCGTTATGGAATCTGAGCCTAGTTGGGATCATCAAATAAACGATCCTTTCCTTAGCTGCATAGGGCTATATACAGTTTACACACACACGCGCGCATACACACACACACGCGCATATATATATATGTGTGTGTGTGTATATATATATATATATATATGTTTGTGTGTGTGTGTAGTAAGGTATGTTTGCTTTTATTATATTTTACCAATTTTCGAATAAGGTGTTGCATCTTGGGTTATAACAAATGGAGCCTTAAAGTGGTCTGTTTTTCTTTAAATTAAATTAATCGCTCTGACCTAACATTGTGCTCTCAGAATTTCATCCTCCTTGGGATTATCCATAAGGATTACCAAAATTTTCGTTACTTAACTCTCTCTCTCTCTCTTTCCACACACACACACACACATACATACATAGTGTGTTGGTAGGTAGATATTCGAAATGAAAATCACGATATATGATGTAACCTTATATTTTCATCTACCTACCAACACTATAATTTGAATTTATATCCCAATATTATATCAAATTCATAATAACCTTGAACTTTGAATGCGCCTATAATATAGCGTTCCTACCATGAAACCGAGGGGAAACGCTATTACATAAGCTCGACTGACCAATCTTCTATCTTGAATCCCGTTCACCTTTTGACCTTTCCTCGTGGGTCGGGCTGTAAAATATTAACGATGATATAGACTGTTCTACTGAGGCTGTTCGCAGCTCCTGTCGAACTCTCTGTCTTGGTCAGGAATATCCAAGTATAGGATTGGTGCATACGGAATAAATTCCAATAACCAACAAATACTATTCTTAAAAGAGTGCTCAATACAGAGTAGAGCAAATATAATTATTTATTCAAAAATTATAACATAAATGTGTTATAAAATCACTACAAAAATAGTAATTTTGTTTCAACACTTCTGGTGTCTTATCAAGTGATGGTGTTGAATGTAAAATAAAGAGTTTTAAAAGGTCCAAATCAATCAAACATCCCTCGCTAAGGGGAAATGCTGTTACATAAACTGGAATGACCAATCTTCTATCTTCTTGAATCCCGTTCACCTTTTGACCTTTCCTCAATCCTCCTGATGTTGAAACAAAATGGCTATTCTTGTAGTGATTTTATAACATATTTATGTTATAATTTTCGAAAAAAAATTATATATATATATATATATATATATATATATATATATATATATATATATTTCGTCTAGCATGAAACAGACTGTCGCCTCTAAGTGTTGACTTCTATGTTCACTTTTATACATACATATATATATATATATATATATATATATATATATATATATATATACATGCCGCGTGTAAGAGCAAAATTATTCAAATCGTGTAACATTATAATTATCCATCCTACATAATGTTTAATATCTAAAAAAAACACAAAACTAATTGAGTTTCTTCTTTCTAAGTTTTCACACAAGACTTTTAGAAATTTCAGATAAGACTTTACACTATTTTTCGTAAAATCACTGAAAAACGTCTTGAGTTATTCAGCTAAAAATAGAGCAGTTTAAAATCGTTTTGTGTCAGGCACACTGTCTTCCCAACTGAGCAATGGTGAGAGGAAAATGATCATTCAGGACTCCAGTAATGGTACCAACATTAATACTTTGACTTCCATCTTCAAAGTCCATTCAAGAACCATCAGGAGAACGCTAAGTAAGATTAAAAAAAGAGGGACCACGATTGAGAAAAACTGGATCAGAAGATTACAGCAGGAAGAGTGATCATCATTTCAACTTAGAGGTAAAAAGATCAATTAGAAAAGATCCAACTCAATTCATATGACGTTTGGCACAGGAGAGAGGAGTTTTAAATATGCCGACCGAAAGAGCGGTGAAAAAAGACTTGTAAATAAAATCATACGTGACACCTTTCAGGCAACTTGTTACTACAGGTCAGAAAGAAGGTTGGAGATGCCGAAGATCATGTTGAATAAGTTGTAAAATGATCCTGGAATAATACATATATATATATATATATATATATGAACTTTATTTCCTTACTTCATGGGCTTCCAGTCCTTAGCAGTGATTAATTAATGATTACCATATCATCTTCGTTTATGATCGACTTTATCATGATCGATTTTATCATGATACTCCTGTTAAGCTAAGAGAGTTGATCGATTTTAAGTTTATATAAGTAGTTATAGAATATATAATATATAAGTAATTATATATTCCCAAATGCTCAAAGTAGAGGTCAGTAGTGGTATAAAAACCTCGGAGAATTCCAGTAAGTTATCTTTAATCATTTCTAAAATACAATGGATCAGAGCTTAATCTAACAATTGCACATTTTTGCTGTTACACCCATACATATTTTTGCTGTTACTCCTATATATGAAGAAATAATATATATATATATATATATATATATATATATATATATATATATATATATATATATATATATATAAAGAAATATACTCTTAAGGTGTGCTATATTTATGGGATAAAGTGCTCAATATCAGAGATAGAGCGTGTGTAAATATAAAGTGAACATTGAAATCAACACTTAGAGGGAGATGGGCTGTTTC